AAGTCTCTCCCTGCCTGGACTCTCAGCCTCTTCCCCGACTCAGTTTTTCCATTCTTGCCCATCCCACTCCCCTCTGTCTCCCTCAGTCTTCAGTCGGTGTCATCTTGTTCTCCCCTGTCCATCTAACTCTCTGCGGCATCTCTGTCTCTCTCCCTGATCTCTTTCTTTATCGTTCTCTCCCTCACTTTGTGTCTGACCTGGACCTGGATCACCGCTCTCATCACTTTGCCTCTGAGGCTTGTTTCCGTGAATGCCACGCTTGTGACGCTGTCCTGTTTTGACATGTTTTCCCTCCGACTTTATTCAGTGGTCTAAACCCACTAATTCCTCATGGAAGGAGCTGCTGATGTACCATCTCAAGCCAAGTGTGTGTGTATATGAGGGTTGAGGTGGGGGGAGTTCTCTTAGGATGTCACCACACTATTACCAAGAGTACTGACATGTAGAAACGTGTACGAAGAAGTGTCAATCTGGCAAGAATCCTTTCTGGTATTTTTTATGGAAAACACAGTGTGGATGTTCTGCCACACTAAACAAGATTTACAAACAAGTCTAAAAGTTTAAAGTTCTGTCAGCAGCCCCAAGACGCTACTGTGCTCATTACACCCCACAAAAGTAAGTCAAATCCACTGGGTCCTTCAAATCAAAATGGTTTATCAGTAGTATGGTCAGTAAATGTCCATAGGATTCTGAGATCCTTTGAATAACACTGACATTTCAACACACTGGTGAGTTATGATATTTTGCAGGTTATCACAGCACATTATTTGCTTTTTGCGTGTCATTTTAGGGTAGTGTCTACTGACTTATATGGGCAAGATTACGTGTCATTTTCTGTGCAGATATTGCAGAGGAAAAATGCTGTTGTATGAAGAGCGATAAATTCTGTGTATAGAGGAGGTTGGGATGGATGGATGGATTGGTAAAAAAAATCAGTATTGTTTGTATCCCGGTTGTATCAAACCAAAAGCCAATAGTGGCTTATTTTAAGTACATTAGTTAACTTATCAGGTACATAATGTGACCTTTTACTAAAATTGTTTTTGTACTTAAACCTAACCAAACTGTGACTATTTCACAACTTTTATCATTGATACCAATAATAGGTCTCCTGACCTTGATCTTTCCTGCACTTCTAAAAAACAAAAAAAATGTGATACATGTCAAATCAAATGAGAACCTTCTGTACACAGGTACTGCAAGGCTAAGCCTAAATCCAGCATCATTATAGACAGACAGAAACACAGAGCGTGCTTCACAACTGAACCAACACATTTTTTGTGCATATAAACGAGCTGAAAGAGCAACATTTTCAGGGGAGCTTTCAAACCTTCATAACCTGCATTGTGCCATTGTCTGAGATGGACATTGCTTTTCAAGTTGATGAAAACAGAATTGGTACGCATTTTCCATCAACAATGAAGTACACAAAAGGACATGTGGACCCACTTTAGACTTTTTTTTGTTGCAGTTAAATTCAGTCCTACTGATTTATTTATTCATTCAACATTTATTACATGCTTTCATAATGATCTATAGGTTGCTGAACATGGTCTTTCACAGTGCTGCACATCAGTATATGAACCTGCCAGGTAAATTATTTAGTCAACATATGCGGCGTGTTCACACCAACTGCCAATGCATCCTCTGTTCCGACTGGCTGTATGCATCACATCCCAGTAATACAAACCAATCCAGTATTAAATTATTCACTCATCTTTCACCAGCTCTTGAGAACAGTCCATCACATATGAGAGTCCGCAGGGGGGTGAGCCAGTTAATTCTTACACAATTCAGTGATAGCTCTGTCCCAGTGGGCCAGCTTTAATGCATGGTTAAAGCATGAAAGTGATGCATATGCAAAACAACAGCTTTGTAGGAATGTACTGGCTGAAATGGTTAAGATAAACTCCACTAAAGGTTTGCCACAGCACAGGAAACGCTCTCCGGTGATTGGCTGATGAGAATACTTCCTGGAGATGCCTTAGCAACACAACTGCCCCTACCCCCTGCCCGACCGTCCTCAACCAATCACTATGAGCTAATTTCCCCTCAGGGTCAGGTGAGCAGTCCAGTTGTAATCACTGCTTCTTCATTCACAGGGATGAATGTGAAAATGAGAAGCACCATCCATCTGGGGACAAGACAGAGTATAAGAGGGGGAGGAAAAGAGAGAGTGAGACGTGGGAGGGGAAGAAGAGGAGAGAGTAGGAGGGAGGGGAAGATAAAGACTCCCAGGGTGATGGAAGGAGGAGAGCTGGCCAAACACAGATTTCTGGTTGAGTTTACAACTTTTGGATTTCTAATCTCCCTTTGGGTAATCAGAAGGACAGACTACAAACTCCACACGGATCAGACTGCATGTTGACAACCCTTCTGCAATGTTAAAGCCTCACTGTACTTGCACATGGACTCCCAACAGCTGTGCTAAGTTGGTCAGCTGTGGGTGTGACAAACTGTGAGCTAAAGTCCGAAAATCCAACTACAGCCTGGAGAACAAATCTAATCTTAACTGCCCAAGAAATTGAAATCCAAGGAAATACACATATCCGCTTTTTTGCGGAGAGTTTGATGAAAAGTTTGCTACCACTCTTGTTTCTGTCTATTAAATGGGAAGCTACAGCCAACAGCCAAAGACTGAAAACAAGGGGTAACAAAGATAAAACAATCTGCCTAACAGCATCTCTAAAGATCACTATTTAACAAGTTATATTTCATTTGTTTAATCCATATCAAAAACAAAGTTTTACAAAATTACAATATTAAGGTTTTATGGGGGTTGTGTTCTAGACTATTTCTTGGAGTCTCTGTTGGTAAGATGGCTTCATATTTGCCATACAGACAGCCTCTCCTCATTCCTAACTAGTCAAATCAAACCTAACCTAAACCTAACCAAACTGCAACGGTTTAGACTCATAAAATGTAAAATGTTTCTCAGCAAGCTTTATTTTGAAAGACTCACAGGATGTTATTTATTATTGCTAACTTGACTGTAGAGCCCTGTGCGTCCAGAAAGGATGCTAGAGGGGCAGCTACAGCGTCGTAGTTTGAAATGAATTGGAAAGAGACAGATTACACTCTATACATCTTTGCAAATGTGTGCTGTAAGCATTGCACCTCTCTTCTGCTGGGTTCAACGATGAAGGCTGACAGAGTGGAGTCCGTATGAGACTTTAGGGACGAGACATTACCCATCAAGTCAGGCAATTACAGCACACATCCCAGTGTAACAACAGAAACATTGCCAGGAATATTAAAAACCTTCCAAGAATCTCTTTTTTGCTTAAAAACATGTGTAGCTGAAGGCTACAGTTAAGACGAAGAGGGAGAGAGCTTATCTTTTGGCATGACACACATCTTCAAACCAAAATGGTAGCCAAAGTGAGCCAAATCAATTCCCTTACCAGATGAATATTTGATGTCACTCTTTGCTCAGTTCCAATCTCAGCTTCAAGGGAGGGTCCCTTCACCTAGAAATCAGCTTCCATTTTGTATCCCACTAAAGAATATGTTGCTCAAAACATGGCCTGGTTCTGTTGTTTATTGTATATTTATGTGAAAGCTCCAGAGGTTGTAGAGGTCTAGGAGTGTTTCAGAAAAGAGACTAAACACTCATATTAACTTAAGTGAAGCACAAGGGTGAATTACCCTCAGATTTTCGGAGTAGTCACATGGATATTTTTGTTTGTCAAGTCTACCGCTGAGCTTTGCAATCATCTAGAATTCATCACAAATCCAAGAGCAGGAACGCTATGCCTCCTCTAAAAGGGTATAAAATGTTGTTGCCTGGCAGCACAAGCAGCAACATGTCTCTGTGTGGCTTTAAAGACTCAAAAAAAGAGAGAGCACTCCCAGATGGCACTCAGGTCTAAAAGGAGAAAAAAATAATAAAGTACAATCATCTTTTTTATGAGATCTTAATAGTGCTACAAATGTCAGACCTGATGTATTACCACGCGTTCGCAGCTCTCAGATGTTCCCTGGGCTTCGCCTGGACAATCATTACGCTTATCAAAAGCACTTCATTAGAGGAATCAGGTCAGAGGCAGGGAGAGGGAGAGAGAGACCGCCTGTGTTTGTGTATCTATTATCCGTGTTTCAGTCTGTGTTTGCATTGTATTAGGTGTGTATGTCTCAGTCTATAATCAGGTGACTACAGGGACAGAACGGGTTCTCGTGTGTGTGTGTTCTTGTTCTTCCAATTCAATCAAGTATCAATTCTATGCCTCTATGGGCAGTTTTCACATTGGGTGCACCTATATGTAGGTATAATATGTATAGTAAGTGTATATGTGTGACTATTGGCTATGTGCTCTGCTTAATAGACTCAGCGCTCCATCGATTCAACCACTGCCACCACACATGAATCTGACCCCGCCGAGGTCACAGCACTGCGTTCAGAGTCAGACTCAAAACTAGCCTCCGCTAAACCATTATCTATCTGAGCTCTGCCCTCATAGCAGAACGGCATAACATTAGTGCACATGATATCGCTTTACAGGAAAATAACTATTTGTCTCATTTTTACGGGTATTATCCCCTTCCTATTCCCAGAGTGGTTAACATAAAAAGCATCTCAAACAGAGAGTAAATATGTATTCTCAGGGGGGGAGCTGGGGCGGGCCCTGCCCACCGCCACGCCACATGAGCTGAGATGAAAGACTGGAGATGCTGAGAGGGAGCCGAAACTCCACCTTTCCTTCTTACCCCCTCCCTCGTCTTTATAAATAGCTATTAGGAGATATGGAGCAAAAGAGCTACTGGGAATTCAGACAACAGTAGCAATTGGACCAACATGTTCCCCTGTTTGTAAAGAGAACAACAAACCAGGCGATAAACAAACTTTCATCCCTGGGCTTTCACGTACATACAACTGGAAAACAGCAAAGCCAAAGCTGACTTTTTTTTCTGTAAAGCAGCAGCACACACACAGTGGGAGAAGATGAAAGAAGAGCTTGTCGTAGCAGAAAAGGTATAAACAACAGGAAAGTTTTGCCAACCTTTTTCTGGTCCTCCAGCTTTTGACTTGTTGACTTCTTGCCATGCTTGCTGGCTTCCGGTACATCCATCCCTGGTCCGAATACAGAGTAACTCCAGAGTAAAATCACAGGAAATAAGTTGAAGAGAATCCAGATGGCTACAGTTTGCCGACGAGGGCCCGTGTCCGGCTCACGCCTTCACCCGGACACAGACGATCCATGGCAGGTGGTTGTTTGTACGGTTAAAGTGAAATGTGTCTCTGAGTGTTATCAGCGCTGGGAAGGTTTTGAGGAGCAGGATCAATGCCAAACCAGTAGCAAAGGGCTACCGAGAGAACTTCATTATGATGTCTGGAGCAAAAAGAACACTGGTGAGGACTGTCAGCTTGCAGGTTGTAGTGTAGTTTTATATGAAGATAACAGTTATGTTAGCTTCCTCCTCAGAGTGCAATCCCTGGCTCCAACACGCAGTCTTCCCTCCACATCTGGGGAAAGAAGAAAGATAAAACATGCTATGATTCAAATGCACAAAAAGCCCCCCAAAAAATGCAGAAGTATTGTTTTAGCTTTGCAATTAATGCAAAAGCTCTCTGCCTCTCCGAAAAGTCAATATTCCCCTCGGTGCTGCACTGTACAAATGGCGGGGGTATCTGCATATCAAAGTGAATGTTGCCATGGTGCTCAGAGAGGAAGAGAGAAGGAAAAGCTTCTACTACATGCTGTTTGTTCTAAGCTGAGTGATTGTTTCTGATTGTTGTCTTTTTTTCTCCAAACCTATTTTCCACCAAAAAGTAGCAGGGGAAGGATTGAGTCATGCTGAGGTCGGGTAAACTCGCGCCCTGGGAAGGGTCCAAGCATGGAAAGATAACCACGGGATCGGTGGCTGGCCCCTCTGTGGACTCTACTTGGGTTCAACTTGTCTGCTTGGTTTACTCACATCCTGCATAACACAACATCTGCCATTCAAAAGGTCTCCTGCTGTACAGTGATAGCATGATTTGTGAATGAAACCCCAAACCTGCCAGTGTCTGAGCCATATATTATGCACTGGGCTATAGGACTAAATCTGGATAGATTAGGTAAGTGTGACTTTAATATTTTGCAGTAAACGCCTATTGTTAGGCTTCACAGTGAGTGGTAGTCTGCTTTATTCATTTACTTATCAATTATATTCTAATTCAAAGTTACATTATGATCACAGAAAGATTAACAACCTCCACCACCTCTAGGCTCATATGTCAAATATAAAGCTACAGCCTGCTAGCTGGGTGCTAAGACTGGAAGTAGGAGAAAACAAGCAGCCTGGCTCTGTCCACCCAGTAGAGGCTCCAGGAAGTCACAGCACCTAGTCATAAAACCACAGTTTTACACAATTAACCTCTGGCCACACCTGGGCTGCTGTTTCCCCCTGCCTCCAGGCTATGTGCTAAGCTAACCATATCTTACCTGTACATTCATATTTAACACAGGTTGAGGAGTGGCTACATGGTTTGAAAACAAATAAGCGTATTTACTGTATGCCCTGAGGCTGGTTTTGGTTCAAAATCTATTTAATGCTTATTGGCACGAACTAATGTTGCTTTACAGCGCAGAACAGAAGAAGAGCGACATTTTCCAGCCCAGAGAGCAAAAGTGCAACAGTAAAACTTGCTTGCAGATAGTGGTTTGAGACTAGGAGAAGTGATGTTTATGGAAAACCAGAACTATTACTAGTGCTAGTACAACAGAGGCTGCCGGAATGACGTATTTTTGCTGGCCAAGCTGGAAGTTAGAATCGCCCTGGTTCCCTCAAAAAAAAACCCAATGGATTTTCCCATTGGATTTTGGATTATTGCAGTTTACACGTTTTATGCAACAAGATCATTTTCACACCACTTTTATGATTTTTGAAGCATAAATGCAATCACCAGAAGTAAAAAAGCTAACAATACGCTATAGACACAGTACTTCATGCTTGCATGTCTTCAGCATTACCACCATTCAGTTTGGCATGATGAAGTATATTGTCACTGACTGCACTCTTATCTGCCACATCTTTTTTAAGACATAATGTATTCAAAATTCACAGTTGGGGTATTTACTGACATATTTTATGTTTTAGAACAAAACATGAAAATCTCTTGAGCTTGTGTTAATAGTCCTTATTTCATTCATCTAACAAACATCCATTCAAAAAACCCTTTAACTTTAATACAACTGGGAGTGCAGAAATGCAAACTCATTTCTGGGTTTTAGGACTCATTCCTGCAGCACTCTATTTAAACCATGATTTAATTTGTTTACACACCTGATTCAAAAGGTGCAACATTTAATTTGACAATGACATATTGGGGACAGTACAGTAGTTACAGCTAGTACTTGAAATGGCACATACAGCAGTGCAAACTAATACTGTATTATTTTCTGAAGGCAAAACAAAGACAGAACAATTACCCCAGACTGGCACAAATATAGTATATAGTTCCATATATAGCTTCCCCACACAGAAACCTGATTGAGTCACTAAAATCAATATTCTGTGCACTGCAGTTCAGCCCTTGTCCATCCACAGAAGTTGGTCTATCGAACGCTCCAATAATCCCTTAAGATAGCACAGTCTGAGAGAAGTCATCACAGAAAACCGCCTCCCCAGCTGACCACCACCAGGTCATTAGGGAATCTCACTTGTGTGTTCACTTTCATCTCCTCTCTTAACACTGGCCAGATCTTTGTAGTTTTCTTTGCCACTAAAGACCTACCCAGCCTCAGAGTGCCATGTAACACTGCAACCCTGTCAGTTACTTAAGGGCAATCATGTCAAGTGCTGCCAGCTCAGAATTGGTTCTTAGGGGACATCATGAATTGAGTGCTGGAGCCCAGTGAGATTTTCCACTGAAACCCGGAGTGTTAGCTCCTAGCAATAAGCTGTGAAAAGCACTCTTTCAAGTACCGTGGGTAGCCTCAAACAACAAGCAATGCACAGGGAATATTTGCAGAAATAGGTGATGAAAAAAATTAAGCCAGTGCTCTCCTAAGACTAGAAACACCACACATTTTGGCGTGAGCAATAACACTGCATCCCAGAAATGCTAAACTTGCTAAAAGCACAGCTGTATTGCTCCTAGACTTCCCCATTTCCCTCAGCAGTGGAATTATACGGGGGGCTTTCTAAACTCATGCATACTGCATGAGTGCTAATTTCCCCTTTTTTCTTCTTGAATATTACAAAAGAAACAATGGAACCTCACAGGGAATAACATGGCACACTCTGTTTGCTGCACGGAAGAGGCTAGCTGGCACTCGCTGTCACAGAGTGACAAGATGGCCTCCGATGTAGGCCACTGGGGTCAGAGGTCATTCTCCATCTGCTTTGCCTGACAAGCAACAGCAGGTAGAGAGCACCCTTATCAAGGAAGAAAGGACGGACTCTCCAGGAAAAAAAGGAAAAAAAATCCTCACATCTCTAAAGCGGCACTGCATTTTATAATGTTTGCTGAGGAAACAAATAGACAGGATCTCAAAAAAACAAGATTTGTAGACAACTTATTCATTGGTTTGTCAAAAAAAGAAATAAATACATGAAGAGCATGTTGTCAAACTATCAAAAGGTCAATCGATGGCTGACAAATTGAAAGCAATTTAAGGAAATACAATAACCACCATTTTTCCAACATTATTTTCCAACTGTCCTTCTACCTCACTTACTCACCAACTGTCTCTCTCTAAGCATCAATAATCCAGTGCAAGCTTTATTTACATTAACATTATGAAAAGTGTCACAACGTCCAAGAAGAATGATCAAAAGATACTACTGGTGTGGCAACTGGGAACATAATCACTATGTTTGCTGTTAAAGTTAAAATAGGAATAAATTATTTGAGGAAAATATCTGGTTGCAGTTTTTCTAATTTAAGCTGCAATAGGTTTTTTTTCACAGCAGATATTTGGACTTGTCATTGTAGGAAAAGCACCGGTGTTACTAATGACATTCCCAATTGCTATGTTCTATTAAAGTGTCCCAGTAAGCCGGAGTGCTGGTGTGACAGTGAGCCACGAACAACAGGCCTAGCAGGGACCCTGAAACTAGGCAGCTAAATGTAATTCAGCCATCATTCATTTTATTATTAGGGACGGAGCACTGACCAGTGCAAGGCCCTATTGTTATGGACGGAATTCTTCAACCGCATATTTTGAGGCTGCAACATGCTCGAAAAGTCAGGGAAAATTGCACAAAATTCAAACATAGTGAAAATACCGGTATGCAATTGTCGCCGTGCACGGGCGCTGCCAAATGGCTAAGCCCTGCCCCCCCCCGAATCAGCCCTCAAGACGCGTAAGGTCGACACTACGAAAATCCGTACGCATGTGTATCGTAATAAAAGAAGCAGAAAAGCCTCGTGGACCCATACCTCAAACCCAACAGGAAGTTGCCATTTTGAATTTAGCGGTCATTTCTTCTGGCGATTTGCACACGTATTTGAACTCCTCCTCCTAGGGAATTGATCAGATCGAGTCCACACTTGGACACACCCATCTAAACACATTCACCATTAAAAGTTGTGCTATATACGTTGTTCCGTCGAACACCATGGACATGGCGTGGCGTCCCGTGGCGTCCAATTTCGATCCTTCACCATAAAAAGAGGGATTTGTCATAACTTCTGCGTACATGATCCAACTGCAACAAAACTTCACATGTTTAATAAGAGTCCCGCCCTGAACAAGTCTATTTGATAATATTCAGTAATAGTCAGAGCGCCACCTAGTGGCAACAGGAAGTATCACCTTTTATACTTTCATGTTCTACTCCTAGCAGGATGATCAGATCCAGCTGAAATTTACTTATAAAATGCAAAACATATTGTTGATGATATGTGTTGACTGTGGTGAGGGGGCGTGTCTGTGGCGTGGCGGGAAATTTTGATGTACCGCCAGAACACACAAGTTCGCTATAACTTGAGTGTACGTTGTCCATTCGGCTCCCAACTTCACTTGTCTGATAAAAGTCCCGCCCTGAACATGCCTATGTGATAATATTCACTAACTAGTGAGTGGAAGGAAATATATATTTTTTCTTTTATATATATCTCCCAGCAGATTGCCCATATCCAGCTGAAATACTTTCAGCAGTCCCTTAGGACGATGACGATGACATGTCATGAATCTTAAGAATTTTTGTCGAACTTTGTTGCCATGGCAACGTGGTGAAAATCAGCTTTCCTATTAAGATTTGAAAACCTATTGGGTGGCTAAACATGGCCAAATTTTGCACAAAATTCAGTCGTGGCATTATGGATTAGCCACGCCCCCCCAGAATCAGCCCCCAAGACACGTGAGACCGACATGTATGAAAATTGGTATGCATGTGTATGATGATGGGACAAGCAGAAAAGCCTCTTGGACCCATAACCCAAACCCAACAGGAAGTCGGCTATTTTGAATTTTGTGGTCATTTTGGGCAATTTTTTTGCGTTGTATTTGAACGAACTCCGAGGGAATTTATTGG